TCTGAGGGGTTTGCATCCTGTCCCTGTCCAGAGCAGAATTTGGGGACTGGAGACAGCAGACAGAGCACAGAGCTGTGGTAAAACAGAGCTCTGTTCTTCCCTCTTTACACAAACAAAAGTCCCATTGAAAGCAGTCAGACACTGAATCTAATGATTGAAATATATATATGCATACATGTAAAAAATTGGAGTATTACTGTTTCAGCTGTACTCTCCCTTGATTTTAATTTTCTTTGTGGAGTTCAAACATAGAATGTTCCTTCAGTGCTTACTTTCAAAGCCTTTTCTTTTGGCTATCACATCTAAACTCCCTTCGATTTTTCTCCCAGCTGTGGAAGGCAAGGACAGTGAGGGACAGAAAAGTCAGAGGCTGTCTTACAGCACTGGCACCTTTAAAGATCATCCTTGAAATATAGGAGGAAAAAACCCCTTAGAATAAATACCACTTCAGTTTTTTTAAAGCAAGTTTTCTTCTTGAGTGTGTGGTCTTTCCCCACTTTCAGAGCATGAACTAATTAAAGTGTGCATAATCATGCTTTGTCTCTAAACCTGCCAGGACTGTTTTTTCTTTTTTCCCCCTCGCTTTTGCTGCTGTTTCATCTCTGGACTGGACACTGCTAGGAGAGTAGGTGCCCTTGGAAAGGAGAAATGTCTGAGCTTATGCCAGCATCACCGTCCTGGTTTTTCAGCACAAACAGGTTTGTGACATGTGCCCTGTGCCGCACGCGCCCTGCCTGAGCTGCTGCCTTGGGTAGTGAACTACAAGCATCTTTGCCAGGTTTCTCTTAAATACTGAAACATTGAATGATTGAAGTTGGAAAAGACCACTAAGATCATCTATTCCAGCTTTCTGTCTACCACCAGTATTGCCCTTTAAACCTCAGTGCCACATCCACATGGTTCTGGAACGCCTCCAGGGATGGCAACTCCACCACCTCCCTGGGCAGCCTGTGCCACTGCAGCACCGCTCTTTCTGGGAGGAAATTCTTCCAAACACCCAACTTCATCCTCCCCTTGTGCAATTTGAGGCCATTACTTCTCATCTCTGATCATCTAGGAGAAGAGGCCAACCCCCACCAACTTTCAGGTCATTGTAGAGAGTGATAAGGCCTCCACTGAGCCTCCTCCAGAGTGAACAACCCCAGTTCTCTCGCCATAAGACATCCATGACAGCCTGTGAAGTGTGGAGGTCATTCAAGGGCTGGCCTTGACACACAGTCTTCCTCATCCTGGATAACAGTGAGACTGTCTTATCATGGAGGAAGCTACTCTAGATGAAGCTGAGGAAGAAGAGGAGGAGGGTTTTGCTGGAGCATCCCAAGCACTTTAGGGTGTGTGTACCAGGACTGGAAGTTCCTGGTGTAGTATCTGCCAAGAGAGGGCAGGAAGGGAAGGTAGCAGATGTAAATGTGTGATGTTGGTTTATAGAGTGCACTGCATGTTTGTAAAACACCTCGGCAGTACAGCCAGGGAGGGCGATTAGCTCATTTCTTCCTCCTTTATTTTCTCTGCATGAGGCATTTATTTGTGCAGTGTAATTAGTGGGGATCTGTGCAGGTGTGTGCCATCTGGAGTGCACCCAATTAAGTCAAGAGAATAAAAAATGGGCTGGGAGAAGATGGGAGAGGAGAGCTGGGAATAACACCTCAATGGGGTCCCTGTTCATCCCAGTGGCTGAATGCCTCAGAACCTGGAGTCCCTAAGCTCATTTTACACAGAGGCTCACTGACTCAAAGAAGTGGGCCCTGATAGGGGTCCACCAAGCAGACCACATTTGTGGCTCAGAGCAGCCATTGCTTGTCCAGCATCTTGCACGTGCTTGTGCCACCAGAAGAACAAGGTTGTGGCTGGCTATTGCTGAGGACTGGGGAGCAGAAGATGCAAATCTGTAGAAAAACAGGCTCCTTTAATCTTGTGGCTTTGTAAATGAGGGTGTGAGGATGAGGAAGCGTAGTCACTGCCAGGATGCTTGTGGTTCTTAGAACAATGCCACTAAGGCCATGAAATTAATATGCTGAGGTGCACTACGTCTCTGGATGCTCCTATTCAGAAGTCATTTCTTTTGCTATCAGGTCTTTGGTTAGATTGTTAAAGAATAATTAGAGGGCCTCAGCCAGAGCTCAGAGAGGTAAACTATGTGAATCAGTCTGCACATAGGTGGGGAAAACTCAGGCAAGTTAAAGAAAACACCTCTAGGGCCCAGAAAGGGAGAGCATCTGCATGTTCTGCCTCTATGTGAAATGCATCTCTTCAGCGAGATTTTTCAGGGGATTACTCTGAAGAGGCTGTGTTGGCTTTATTTCCTAAATGTGTCGGAGAGGCTCTTCTGAGATTGCTGATTGTAGTCACATTTCCACTCCATTTTGTGAGAACTGCAGATTCTCAGCTATGCCTGTTACGAAGCCTCATTCTCTCCAGTGTGTTAAAAAAAAAACATACCCATAAAGCCACGTTTACCCATCCCCTCTATGGGGACTTGAAATATTTTCTGCATATGTTATAACACTCTCAGCATCTCTTGAGCAGCTCAAGTATTTCTTCTGTTTAAAAATGTCACAAACCTGCTTCCTAAACCAGAGTTCCAGATGTGTTGTTACAGGGGATCAATTAAATGTTTATTTATTTCAAACAAGTAAGCATGCCCTGCTCCTGAGAATGTGGCCTATTGCATCTATGTAGACTGCAGTGCAAACTGGATTGGTACCATTGGTGTCAGCTTGTGCCTCAGCACCTGTGGGCTCTGTATTAAACTGGGCCCTGCTGGGAGCACTGTTCCACTGCCGTGTATCAAAAGCATCATTTCCAGGGGAAACTCCTCCAACCCGACCTTGCCAAAAAAAAAAGTTTAGTACAATATATTTTGCTGCCTTTTGTCCCGTATGCAGCAAGCTCATGGTTCCTCTATTCTTCTGGTCTCTCATTTGGTGGGTGCCTTGTGCTGGTCTTGCTATGTGATACCATTGTGACTGCTGACAAAGCTCTCATTGGCTTTGATAAATGCCACACTGAGACTGGATTCTGCCTTTCTTCTATGTGCTTTCTTGGTAAAAAGCTGGGATTTTCAGTTCTCCAGGCATCTTTCTGGAGCTATGCAGAAAAAAATAGTCTGGGGGCTGGCTAGCCATACCTACTGAGCTAAATTGGGAGTCTTCCTACCATGCCAGGTTTACAGAGTCCCATGGTGTACCATGCTGTAAGACAGAAAGCAGGATCCCCTGGGCCTTTCTTAATAACCAGTAGGCTGGAGAAATCCTTAGGAGCCATTTATTGCCTCTCAGGATCCAAAGGAGGATTTAAATGGGGCTCATTAAATGTCTCCTTTTCAGTTTCAGTTCCAGGCTGGTGCTCTTTGTCATGCTGTCTCACCCTCCTTACCCATTTGTTTTTCCTTTCTTTCATACCCACATTTTTGAAGATGCATAGGCATCTTCAAAAACAACTGGATGTCACCTTTGGTCTTTTTGTCTTAAAGCTGGGAGTGTTAGATACAGGCAAGTGATTGTGCATTGTTCCTTTTCATCCTTTCACCTACCCAGAGCCCCATCCAACCTAGCCAGGAGCACCACCAGGGATGGGGCATCTACAACTTCTCTGGGCTGCTGTGCCAGCACCTCACTGCCCTGTGTGTTTGTCCCTTGAAGAAAATTACTGTGTGTCAAATCTCTTATAATGAGAACTTGATAGCAGAGTAGTGCAGGTATCATGTTCTTCACGTAATAAAAATGAGACTGTGGGCCCAGGTGACACTGGGAAATATTAGGTGGAAAACATCCTTATGGTTAACAATTGCACTTAATTGCTGTAACTGTAGTGAGTTAAAATAGGATCAAGCCCATAGCTAAGGTAAATCTGAAATGAGGTCATTTGTGATGTCAAAACTGAAATCGCCTGCCTCAGGCCTTCCTTTATGGCCGTAACAAGGGGAAGCAGCCAGGACTGCACAGCAGATTGCACGAGGTGGCTCTGCTGCTCCATTGCTTCAGCTGGTGATTCCAGTGAGGGACAGCAGTGCTGGGGGAAGGGGAAAGGCGCTGGCCCCAGAGAGAAGCCTACACGGCCTTCCCTGATGGCTGCCAGAGACAAATGTGCAAACCATTGCTCTGAAGTGATTGATATAAAATGTAAAGGGATTAGTGAAATTGGTTTGTAAGATAAATTAATGTTGACCTTTCAAGTGATGGGTTGGAGCCAGCAGCAAGAAAGCAGGTTTTGACAGAGACCAGTGTTGACTGGCTAAAAGCATCATAAGATAAATGAGGGCCTGTTTGGTGATGCCTAGGCACGAGGTCACACTGTCGTTGCTGCTGGCCAGCAAGGTGGTTGCTTTGTGTCAGTGGGCCACTTTCTTACAGTGCCACTGAGCTACCATGGCTTGTGTGTCTGCATGTATGGTCCTTGTATTGAGTGAGCTACTGTTGGTGTAAAATCATTACGAAGTTAACAGTAAGAGTTGGCATGTTGTTTTACGTGATAGTCCCCCTGTACTTAGCATTGGTGAGGCTGCACCTCAAGTGCTGTGTTTGTTTTGGGCCCCTCACTACAAGAAAGACATGGAAGCCTTGGAGTTGTGCAGAGAAGGGCAGTGGAGTTGTGAGGGGTCTGGAGCACAAGTCCTGAGGAACTGAGGGTTCTATCTGAAGAACAGAAGACTCAGGGGTGACCTTATCACTGTCTACAATAATTTGTCAAGGTGGGCATCAGCCTCTTCTTCCAGGTAACTGTAATAGGATGAGAGGTAATGGCCTTAAGTTGTGCTAGGGGAGACTGAGGTTGGATATTAGGAAAAAGCTCTTTAAAAGAGTGGTGCTGCAGTGGCACAGGCTGCCCAGGGAGGTGGTGCGGTCACCGTTCCTGGAGGTATTACACAACCGTGTGGATGTGGCACTGAGGACATGGTCAGTGGGCAGTTCTGGTCATAGGTGGGCAGTTGGACTGAATGATCTTAGAGGTCTCTTTCAACCTTAATGATTCTGTGATTCTATGTGATGAAGAGTGCGTAACTCAGTGATCCCACTGAGCTCAGTGATCCCATATTAATAGAAACAGAAATACTCTATAGAACAGATTATCAGTAGAAACAATCCAGCAATATTGTGATGATTTCTCCAAGTCTTCCTGGAAACCAGAAGTTTTGCCAGCTGTACTCACCTCTAAGTGTTCAGATTTCCTTTTGCTGCCCACTGTGAGTGCACAGACAGCCGTGTCTCTATCCTGGCGTGACAAAGCAATGAGAAAATTGTATCTTTAAATACCAACTTAATCTAATCTGGGACAAAAACAATGAAAGGCTTTAATCATAATTGCATGGTGCCTGCTGGCTGTCACCAGAGGGCAGAGACAAGGTTGTTTGTTGCCACGTGTGGATAGTTCAGAAATTAAATCTCCTTTCCACAAAGGCAATAGATTCTGATCTAGCTTGTGTCCTTTCCAAATATTTCAGCCTCGTAACCAGATCGCTCATTTCATCAGCATCTGTCACAAACACTGTCTTGCTTCTGTCAGGCTATGTACAAAGGGGCAAGGAGAAATGTCTTTATCGTACTGTGGGTGCCTGACTTTATAACATCGCAGCTTACACAAAATACTGGCTCACAAAATAAACAGGAGACTTACTTCCCCTTTGCAAAGCTTTTCCAGAGCTTGGTGTTTGCAGTGCCTGCACTCTGTGAATGCTTCCCAGCTGGGCAACCACAGCAGGAACAGGGGGAGCCCGATGGGGATCAGGAGCTGCTCTTACACAGAACACATGGAAAGCTGTGCTGTTGTCTCAGTTTAGAAGAACGAAGATTTTAAAGGCCAAGGCAGTAAGGTACAACTTGTTTGATGCTCATTCTATATAGGGATGGCAGATTCCCTACAGCTGGCAGCATGTGTACCTGGGGCAGGGGGAACAGAGACGCACTCAGGTGTCCACTCTCCATGGCTGCGTACCTCCTTGATGGAATCTGTGAGCAGAAAAGTTTGTTTAGGAAGAGTTTAAAAGTGCTTACTGTCCTCCTGGTGCCTCCTATGTAGTTAAGCTTCATGAAAACACCTGAGGGCTTTGCATCCTGGAGAGGCTGAAGGTGCTGCTCCAGATGGTGCTGGAAATATGTCTGAAAGATCCAGATTATGTACAGGGTCACAACACTGCCCTTATGTTTCGGCATGTAAGTTCAGGTGAAACACTCAGCTCTGTGTGTTTCCCTCTCAGAACTGGGAAAAATGATTCCCATAGGCGAGGGAGGATTTGTCCTGTGAGCTGGCCATGTCCTGGCTGAGCTCCAGGGCCATAGCAATGCAGAAAGGCTCTTTGCAGTGTGTTAGCTCTGCTGTACCTCCAGATCTTTAATTTCACTGCTTTTCAAAATGAAAACAAAGAAGCTAAGCTGAAATTAACTAATGATCTAAATATGACATGGAGGACTTGTGGGAAGCAAAGTGGACATGCAGCAGGAAAATTCAGCATCACCAATGTGAACCATGGTGTTACAGATGCATGGTCAGCTTTTTGTCCATTGCTTCTTCCTTGCTGCCAGCTCTGGCAGGTGTGATACCCACTGCAAACACACAAAAACTCTCACTGTTTTTTACTCCTAAAATAAGATACAGACGCTCTGTCTTGTTCTCTACTTTTCACCTATCACGTTTTTTAGTTAGCTCAGATGATGAGGGATCTGATACCTATAAAATGTTTGTGATCTTGAATTTAGCATCAAAAATAGAATAAAAGTTACAAGGAAGCAGACTTGCTCTTTCACCTGTCCCTTTTTTTGATCTCCTTAATCCTTAAGGATGGTGAGGCACTGGCACAGCTGCCCAGTGAAGCTGTGGCTGCCCCATCCTTGCAGGCTCAAGGCCAGGTTGGATGGAGCCCTGGGCAGCCATGGCAGGGGGCTGGAAATGGGTGGGCTTTAAGGTCCCTTCCAACCCAAGCCATTCTGTGACCACCTTGCTCCAGGTTATCTTATTCTTTATCTGGAAAAATATTTATACACTATCTCAGGCCACAGAGGAGGGAAGAAGTCTTGTCTATGCACATTGCAAAGATATTGTAGGGTTACGTGATTTTGTTTTACTGGCTCACATTCAGATTCTGCATTTATCATTTTTACAACTTCAGCCTTAAATTGTTGTAAGATAACCAGACTATAGCAGTCTTACCACACTTACATGCTTGTACTTTTATTTTAGTTTTATGGTTGTGATATTGAATCCTCTTAAAGGAAAGGCAAGTAAGTTGCTTTGACTGCAGTGAGAGTTATTTCCACGCTCAGCCAAGCTTGCATTTTTTTCTCAGTGCATCTTTCATTCTGAACATCTTGTGTTTACTTTTTGAGGTAACTGCAACCTCTGTCGTGTTTTATCTCAGAATGCAGTTTTGGACCATCTCCCTCCAAGAAAAGCTACTCGACGCACAACAGCCCTGCCAGGCTGCAGCATGAGCTACCAAAGAGCTGCTGCTGCTCAAGTGTCTCTGTGCCATGCGCCACTGGATGGCCAGGCTTGGTGTTTACAAGCAAGCCCCTGGGCTCGCTGTTCACAGCTCCAGCACCAAGGCTTAACTGGAGAAGGGATTCCACAAGAGAAGCCAAAACTGTTTATCAGAACCAGGAATCATTGGGCTGACTTGCCAAATCAGACTAAGAGTTTATATGGCCGTTATGAGGACTCAGAATAAAGCGCGTGGACATGGAAGACATTGGTACATAAACATTTAACGCCCTGATGTTTTAATTATTTTGGCCTGCAGCAGCAAGGAACATTTTAAAGGCCAGATCCTTTGTAGTGCTGAATATATTCAACACCAGTTGTGCTCCTCAGAACCACCGTGCTCGATGCCTTCCCACGAGGTGCCTCAAGTAGAGCCCCATGCTGCCTGCCCTCCCAGCCAGCAGCCACCACCACCCTGGGGGTGGAAAGTACAAGGGCAACTTGACGCCATTGACAACCACAGGACATTCCTTGTATGTGAAATTTCTGCAGATTCAAGATTTCTACATAGCTGTGCTGCCACTTACTTACAGAAACATGTTTTCACAGCTTAAATGCATTAACCCCTAGTGGGCCTTAGATTTCTGTGTAGGATTTGACATGACGTGTCTTCGAGAGATCTTCAGGACAGGAAGACAAAACACCACTCCTGGAAATTAAAAAATAACTGAATTTAGATCAAACACTTGGAAAGTCTGGCTTTTGCTCTAAAAGATTAACCAGTATTTAGAATTTTTTTTTTTTGCTGTGGGAGATTCCTTCAGTAATTATTAAAAAGCAAGATGAAAAACCAGCATCATCTTTTGAGTGCCAATATCACGCCTGGACAAAAGCAATCAGCCCTAGATCAGCCCTAATAATATTTGCTCCTGGATACATTGCAGAATCCCTGGCTATGCTTAGGATAGGAAGGAATTTCCTCATGTGGTGAGTTGGCAAAGACTTTGGGTTTGTTTTGTTCTTGTGTATTGCTCAAGGACTGTCTTGGAATTCTATTTCAGTTTTTTTTCCTCTTTCTGCAGCCTTGTGATCAGAGCTGAACGTTAGCCTTGTCCCCTCTATGGGCCCTGTTTTGTTTCTGAAGATTTCCTCTGCTTTTTTCAGGTATGGTTTGGTTTGATTTACTCTAGTAATCACAAAAAATGATCTAGATTTTTGTCCACTAGAAATGAGATGCAGGGAAAGGAAGAGGATTATGAGAATAACCAGCTGCTCAACCACCTACAGCCTCCTGGTCCACTCCTACAAGGTCAGTGGATTGTGTTCAAGATCACAATCAAAGCATGCGTTGTGTCAGTTGCAGCACTACACCTAAGCAGCAACCTCTTTGCTTCTATATGTAGCTAGATCATTGCCAGGCCTAGAATAAGGTGAACAAAATTCCTAATCTCACGGTTAATGACAACATGCTTTAATTCTTCTACTCCTGTTACACTTACGAAAACAGTCTATATAGTGTGATGAATTTTTATGCATACTTACTCTTCTTATTTCAGGCACATTGGTTCTAGATCTTTATAAACAGCCCCAAGGTGTTTTTTTTTTGTTTTTTTTTTTTGGTGTTCTTTTGGCAAATAATTGGTCATACTTGAAGCTGATGGGAGAGTTTGCATTGGACTCAGGGAGTGGGCTTTGCCTCAGGTCAAGTAAAGCCAGTAACTGGATCCAACAACTACTTGATCTCCAGTTTCCAGTTTCTCCAATTGTTTTGTCTGTTCTGCAGAAGCTAAGTTAATTACAAATAATAGGCCCTAACTTGACATACACCTCTCTCATATTCAACCTCTATGATTAGAAAAACACCAAGACTAGATATCTACATGAAGTCTGTCTTGTGAACATGGAGGCAAGCTGGAAACTAGACCTCAAAGAGAAGACTAAGTTGAATTCTTCCTCCAAAAGGGATATTCACTTCAACACATTGTAGCTGTGAACAGCATTTGCAATTCCATATCTCATCCCATTAGTTAAATTGGTTGGCTTCAAGGGCTGATGAGGGAGTTTTCACAGAGAAGACACAGATATCCTCCTTTCCCTCTAATGCCTTGGCATTAAACCAGATGAGACAGTGCTCATGTGGCTTAATATCCTCGTTGTTCACAAGTTTTTCCTAGATTAGAGGCTGCTGAGGAGGCTTGTGCAAGGCCATAGCCCCAGCTGCATACGTGACCAACAAAGTGCTCTTTGCTGCCACCAGCTCCACCAGAGCACAAAGCTTGAAAGGCTCTTTGACATGGCCCAGCCCCTCACACTGAAATCTCTTTCATTTAGGAATTTAGCAGCAAATGTCTTTTGACTTCCGCTGTGTCTGAGCATGTGCTTTTCTGGACCAAAAAAAGAGGATTTGGTCCTGCCAGGGTAGACAGGTGCCCATTGTAGTGCACAGAAGGCAGGTGGACAAGTGGGACCTCGTGCTCCTTCTACCATTATTTCATTACTGTTCATCATTTATCATAATTGTGATTTCACTGTTATTGCTGTGTATCTGAGGAACACACTCTAAGCACGCTTCCTATTTGCACCTGACAGAGAGGGAGCATCTCAAAAAATCCCTGAGGGTTTTTGAGATCACAAAGCTCAGAAAGATAACACAATTAGTGCACATAACTCCCCTCGGTTTTCTTTATGCCTGCTGACAAGGTTAGCAATAACCCGTCTTTGTGAGGGATTGTTTTGTCTCCCCTACCAATGCATCCAGACTGGCAAGCTTTAGGTCTGACTTATTAGAGTGTATCTCATTTTTCTTAAGGGAATGGTGGTGAAATTAGAGGCATATTACATAAAGACATCACAAGTTATAGAAGGATGAATACCAAATTAATTATTAAAAATCCATCCTTTTTATTGTCTTCACTAACTTGAAGCCTGACCTGAAGACTGTTCACGGTGGGCTTCTCTCTGTCCTCCTCTAGCTTGAACTGGGAACGGTTTAAACATCTCTGCTGGGAGGTGAATGGTGAAGCCCAAGCTCAGTGAAGCTGCTGTGTTTAGACTGAGTGTGGTCTGTGATGTGGCTGCTGGTGCTGGAACCAAGCTGATTGTCCTCAAATGAGCTCCTCTTGAGTTATGGTAACTCAAGCAATTCTGACTTTATCCTAGATGCCAGCCCTCAGCTATTCCTGCAATTAGAGTCTAGGCTAAGAGTGTATGTTTTAATAGAAAAAACATCTATAGCATCTCCAATTTTTTTTTTTCATTCTAAAGAAATGTTAATTTTTCTAATTTCTGCTGATTTTTCCCGTGGACCCACTGACTCTCCCACACATTCTGCCTTATGATAGAAGCGCTTCTGTGATGAAAGAAAGTAAGGCCTATTCATGGGAAAAGGTAGGTAGCCTGAACGCTTCAAAGGATCATCTTGTAAGTAGCTTGTCTTTATTGCTTCATAGTAAACATATGAGTTGCAGTCCTTGCTAATCTGGTTGATGCAGAGCTAGGGATGGTATGCAGTGATATTGATAGATTATCCCTGTGGCTAAAGACTGAGAATACCCCATTACTTCTGTTTGAAAATCTCAGTTACCTTCTCATCAAAACATCCTCATTTTCTCAGGAATTTCTGTACACTCAGCACAAAATGCTTGCACAATAGGCACAGTGACTCCTGCAACTATTGTTTACAGTGTGCTGGCTAATCCTTTCTGTGATCCAGGCGGTGCCTACTGGGTTTGGCTTTTGACTGGGATTAGAAACTGGTGCTGATGCATACTGCCATGCTGCCTGGGGACCTCAGCAGGATCGTGGCCACACTGTGCCAAGCAGCATACAAACCCAGAGTTCAGAGCCTATTGTTTGAGCATCTTCCCTCTAATTGTGCATTTGACCCCTTTTCTCCTTCCAGCCCTTAAGTAAAACATCTAATCCTATTCCATTCCCGTATCTTTTCAGGGATTTATTTCTTACTATCAGTCAGTGTCTGTAGAGGGGGGAAACCAGGATGGTGCCACCCAAAGGCCGCAGCAAACTGTTATAGCTGCAGTGGGAAGCTGTGTTTTCTCTGCTCAAGCACCTCTACTATTCAGTGAAATTGCTTTCTCAATGGGAATTATCCTTCTGGCCTGTCCCTGTTGCACATGACTCCAATGCTACTTTGAGGTCTGTGTGAGCCAGTAGGAAGCTTTTTCTCCTCCCAGTCTGTTCAGGCTTCAAGGGTTCATGCTTCTTTTGTCCCACTTTCATGTCAAAAAGATGCTTGCTGGGTCTAGGTACAGCACACCCTGCTCAGGCTCCATCCCTGCACTGCCATGTCTTTACAGCCATATCTTGTTAACACCAAGCCTCATCTGCAACCTGCCCTACAATGCTGCTTAAATTCAGTTTCAAATCTGGCCATTTTACTGCTGCATCCCACATTGCTCACAGACAGTAGCAAGCTAATAACATCGTGCTGGTGCCATCTCAGCCATCACAGGCTGGAGCTGGCATGCCCAGTCTTGTTTCATAAACTTCTTTGTCCCGTGAGAGATTTGAGAATGTAATACACATTTGGTCTGTGCCTCCTTATTTGAGGCTGACCAGTCTGAATCACTTTTGATAAACTCTAAGCAGGAATTTCAAACATAGTTACGTTCCTATCAGTTTAATTAAAGTAGATCACTGGGTAGAGAAACCCTGTGAAATGTTCCCGTTGAGAAGGCTGTGCTGGGTGTGCCGCTGAGGAACCATCAGGGAGTCTGCTCAGGGCCATGGCTGTTATCGGGGGGCACTGAGGAGCTTTACTTGAAAGCAAGACCTCTCACACTGAGAAGGAGTTAAGACAGGAGTGACTACAGAGTAATCACTTCTACTTTATCATGAGAGTAGTTGAGAGGAAATAGAGGAGCTACTATAAGACGATATGAGACTTAGATCTGTAGGAAACTGGTCTGTGTTTTCTTGTACAAGAAGGAGTCTCTCTGATATGGCCAAGATTTCTAGATACTTTAAAAACTTTACTTTAGATAATATTTCTGTGCTATTACGAGGTCAATTTGTCTGTAAAATGTTAACATGTGGTAAAGGCTTTCTTTACCTACTGCATTCTAGCTCTGTCTTGCACCACATTTGGAGGATGTGACACCATGCGAACATGGGAAGCTGGAAAGAGAAAGGACAGGCATGGCATGGAGTTTACTTTGCCAACACTGGTGAGTTGCTGGTGCTGGCCACAGTGGTGGAGGACACCTGTGACGGACTCAAATTCATTTGAGAGGCTGTTCTATAGCTTTCATTGTGTCTTCTCTCCAATTGATGTTTGTAGAATTAACCACAGATTAGAACAGATTAGTGCACTGCTCACACGGGATGCAGACTTCAGGGTTTAGGCAATGCTCTGTGGCTAACGAGAGCCAACAAGTTTTGCCTGAGTCATCCCTCTGGGTGGAACGTGCCCTGCTCCAGTGATGACAGGAGATGCCAAATGTCAACAGAAGGGCAGTCATCTCCCATTGTGATTAACCAGGCAGAGCCTGCTTGGAAGAGCCATCGAGACGATCGATCTTATTCTTATCCGGCAGTGATAGCAGTCTGCCAATGAGATTAGAAGGACTACACTTAATGTAGTCTTTTGGTAGCAGGGGAAGATTTATATTCTTAGCATAAGCTGCTTAGGAAAAGCTTCTTTTACTTAGCATTTATCATTTGTTATTGACATTTTATTACATTGATAGCCATCCCAAGAAAACACTTCGTACCTGATTTATACATAGGCATATTCTCTTTGAAACCAAACATATTTTGAGAGTACAAGACTGGTGATAAGCTATGTTAGACCTACTTTGTTATACTGATATAAACTTAGCATAATTATTTTTTAGAGCACTAAAGCATTGTCTGATGTGCTTCCCAAGTCACTGTGTTTTTTCCTGCTGGCAATGATATATGCAGCTGATGGTCATCTCAGGTCTGTGGGCTGTATTGGAGAGAAGCTCACACTGAGCCAAACAGGATCTCTGGTTTGAGCAGGAAATTCCACGTTTGATCCTGTAGGGAGAAACATGCTGTGTTTCCTCAAACATGACTTTGGTCCACATTTTTATTTTATTATATTTTTTTCCCAAATGAGCAGTGTCCAGAGCCAGACACATTTCTACATTTCTTGTAGATGAAATGGTCTCTTGTTTTTTTTTTTGTTTTTTTTTTTTAACCACACTCTTCATATGTACAAAGTGGTAATGCAGTGGATGTGCATCATCACCTAACGGTGCTGTAAGCGGTACTACGCAGAAGAGTCCCAAGCTGTTGTACAATGAAATTCTACAATAACCTTATTAACAAAGAGCAATTAAGAGCAGCCTGTTAACCTATATTTTTCTACCCTACTTTAGGTGTCAATGTATACCCAGGAACTGCAAATACTGGTTGGAAACACGTTCTGCTGTCCAGAGGCATAATTACAGAAAGCTTGTAGTTGTCTTTATCACAAAGTTTTAATTAGCAGGACACATTAAATAACCAGCTGATACAGATCTTAATGAATCATTTATAGGCCTACATCTAGGATAATTATATGTAGCTGGGCACATGAAATCACTTGCATACGCCTGGGCTTATGTGAAATGGAATATGCATCTTCCTCGTGAAATAAGGGTGAAAGAGAGGGATGGGACAAAACTGGGGCACCAGGCTGCCTTCCTCAAGCTGTTTTTGCATGGAGTATTGCCAACAAAATAAATAAAGCTGGCTTCAGGAAGTCTGCTGAGCTCCAGGGTGGGCATCTTGGGCCAGTCCCCTTTCTTCTGGCACACTTGTCTCTTCCATCATGATAGGTACCCTATGGCACTCATTTCCCACCTTCACTGCATGCTGGCCCATGGGCAGGTGTCTTGGTCTTAGGTCCTTTCAAAGAATTGTAGGTTGACCTCAAGAGATCACTGATTTCAACCCCCCTGCTGCAGCGGGTTCCCTATGTAGATCACAGAGGTAGGCATCCAGATGAGTCTTGAATATCCCCATTGAAGGAGACTCCACAACCTCCATGGGCAGCCTGTTCCAATGCTCTGTCACCCTTACGATACCCTTAGCTTGCATAACTGGGAGCTGTTGTTTTTATCAAGTGATAGTTCAACTGCTGTACTATGTGTGGACTATGGATGTGTTGTCCAATGTTTTTTTGTATAGTGACTTGGCTTGCTCAACTGGAGCCCCAGAAGAAGCAGAGCCCCTTTTTGACTGCAAGTCAAAAGCAAGGGATAAACAAACCATTGCAAGTGTATATTTGAAAAGATTAAGAGCAAAGTATTACCAACCCATGCAATATTGTAATCAAAAGTCCTTTAAAAGCGGCGTTGACTAATTTTCTCAATTATCCACAGAGTCTGCTGTTAACAGGTTTCCCTGGTTTCTCAGCACCAGACAAACTCTGCTGATCTCTGCAAAACATCTTCCACCTTAAGTACAGAGTTCTCCTTAAAATTAGTGGTTTTTTCAGAGTTAATATGTTAGTCTCCTGATGTGCCACAGCAGGCGTCTGGAGCAGATCTTACCAGACTTTTTATGCTGCGCTTCCTCCTAGATTGCTTTGAGGCAAGGGAGCACTTGTGGCAAGAGCTGATGTGGTGCAGGGTTTGACAGCATCTCTCCACACCCTAGTTTTTGCTTTTGTCAGGGACAGAAGAATGGAGACTCCAAGTATGGCTTCTTAGTCCCCATCAGGGGACAGCCACACAGCAGGGCATGAGCCGGTGTTCCATTTCCAAGATGTCCTCTGCCACTTTTTCCTGAAGGAAAAAGAGAAATGTGTCTCTCCCAGGGCAGGAAATGGTCAGTATGTGATCCAACCCTGAGACCAGAGGCACCTTCTCTGGAGGACCGTGCTCCACGGTCCCACCCAAGAGGGTGGACATGATCAGAACCAGATATGATAGCATGTTATGTGCTGAAGCTGACAGTCTGCCTGGACTGACGTCTGTAATAGCTTTGCACATTGTGGTTGTTGCTGTTTTTATCCTCTAATTCCCTTGGGAAGTAAGGAAGTTTTATTAGTCATTTTCTGGGGAGAAACTGAGATGTGGCTTGATGAGGCCACACAGGGAGCCTGCAGCAGAGCCATGCAGCTATCAGACCAACCGTCCTCATTCCTTATCAGTTCTGCTACGTACTTGTGCATAGCTGGGAAACACACATGGCTCCCGAATGGCTGTGAGGAATAAGACAGAGACAGGGAAGGGAAAGAACAGTGCCTGCTCCTGACACCAAAAAGGTGGTATGGGAATGCCCTTAGTAGTGGCAGAGGGCTCCTGCCCCACGCCTTCAGTGGAACAGATTTTTCCCAGTTTCTTGTTAGACATGTAGTCTTGGCTTTCCAGCCACCGTCAACACTGTCTGGGCACAGGGCCACATTTACTCTGGTTCTACAGCCAGAAATATGGTGATCTCTGGTTCATGCTGGTGTGTGGTTGGGCTGAAGGCATCAAAATGTGTCATCAGAAGTCACTAGCTGCATAACACCAAGCCGTGGCAGGGAAACTGGGGGGGCATATAGCACAGCACTGAAGAGAGGAGCAGCATCAGCAACCAGGCACAGAGAATGCTCTTCATTTTCAAATCACTTTATTAGAAGGCCACTTCCTAAAGTAAAGCATCTCTTTCAGAGTGCTGTGTTTCAATTTCTGAGCTGTATCAGGAGTGCAGTTTGTTTTGCAAGAGCCAATGCACCAATTACAGCCTGAGACTTTGAGAGAGGCACGAGGGACTCAACCACACATCTTCCATTAATTATCTCTTGGCTACATTAGTGCTACAATGATAGCACCAGTAATATGTCACAAGCTCATTTTCTGTCATTAAAATCAGCAGATGCAACCCTGATCCTTGCTGGGAGTGCATCTTCTCAGCAAGAAGGTGCTGTTTTATCACAGGCACTTCTAAAGTACAGTGCCATTTAAATGCCAGATTGTGCTGGAGCAGAGCTCTGCTCCTGCTTCCCCAGACCTCCTGGAGCAGGGAAGAGCTGAGCTCTGCAATAGCCCTCACTTCACTGCCAAGCCTGGACCGAGTGAGTTTGTCTCTGCTGACCTCCTCCTCTTGGTGTGATAGAGAAATGGTCAGAGTTTCAAAAAGCTGATGCATAGGCACTGCTGGTAGATATTAATGCACCGGTTGTAGGCTGCTGGAATGCAAATAATTTGGCTGTTATTTCACCCTGGGTGCCAGATCCAACAATTCGGGCTGCGTCATGGTGAGGCACCTTCTCCCTGTGTCCCTTGCAGCCACGGGCTGGGCTCAGAGTATCGAGCCCCAGGTTGCTGCTGTATTCAGCAGCAGGGTTGCTGCACGAAGCCTGAACATTGTTCCAACTTCCAGCTCCTATTCCCTCTTCCATCCTGCCATTTATGTTTTGGGGGTCAGATAGCATCTCTTTTCAGGTCTAGTGCCAAACTCAGTGCGTTGAAACTTAGCAATCCACTCACCTAAGCAATGACAGCTTAGGCAGCAGCTTGTTCCGCCAGCCTCTTCCGTCTGGTTCTGAGAAGGAAAAGAACAAAAACTGCTCAGTTTGGAATATTGCATAATATTGCCATTTGAAAGAGAAAATGTGGAAAAACCCAGCCACTGCTATTGGCCATATCCTTCCCTTACCCTTCACAAGGAGTGATGCTGGTACACAGACGTGTGCCTGTGTCTGTCCATCTGCTGCATGGTGCCTCTGAAGGCAGCAGCTGGGCTGGACGCGGGCAGGAGGTAACCTGCTGTGGGAAGACATCCAGATTGTAAATTAGCCCCAAAAAATAACAAGAAGAAAAAGATTGCACCGTCCAAAGATTTGAAGTTGAAAAGGATTATTTGCCACATTAAGCAGCCTCTTCTGGCTGCAGTATGAGTGGTGGGTGTCATCAGCAATAGAGCATGTTTCTACACCCCCCAGCAGGTGCTCCGGCCTGATGGGCATGCAGGCTGTGTGTCTGTGGGGAGCTGCTGAGCCTCGGTATGCACAATTACCGTGGCACACGCTGGCTGGAGAGGGTGCTATGTGGCTCAGGTGAAGCCTGGGCTCCTGTGCTAATGCAGGAAGGATCCAGTCTGAACTTCTTTCTGTGCGCAGACATTGGTTTCTTTTCTTTTAATTATTAGCTTTGTAAGATCAGAGATGGGGCTGTGTTCCAACGCCAGCAATCTCATTTCTGTTGCAGGGTTATAAATGTGTCTGGGACCTTGGCATGTGTCTGTGTGGCCCAGGACTCCGAAGCATCCCTGAGTTGCAGCCAGGAGGACCTGCATCCATGCACACAGCAAAACAGCCTTTTGCACTGACACGGTGGTGTAAAAAGGTGGGCCAAAAGCTGCTGTTTCAAGGCCAACAGGAAAATATATTGCACTTCCCTTCTGTGTGCCACAAAGCCTTTCCTAGCAGGGCTCCTTCTGTGCTGCTTCAGGGCAGGAGGCTGCTTCCCCATCCAATGCTGCTGCACAGGCAAAGCTGGAACACGAAGCCCATGTAGGCAAGGGCTAATACTGCTTGAGCAAACATGGATGAAGAAATAACTCTTTGGCAGAAAAGTTTTAAAGCTGCGAACATTAAATATTACTATGCAGTGAAATGCTGGAGCAGTGAGATCCATATACATTCACCATGGTCTATATCTCATACAAGAGAGACAAGATTTCAGGAATAAGAAGAAACTGCTTTTAAGCTGATTTCTAATAAAACCAGGCTTATTATTTAATGGTGTGATTTATGCCAGGAGGACTATTGGTAGAGCCTGGCACTGCTGTGGTATGGTCCAGCTCCCGTCTCTCAGGAAGCAGTTATCAGACAGAATTTTAATGGCTCTTATGAGCCCTACGAAAGGCAAGTAAAATCAGAGGGAATTCTTAAACAGAGTTGTTCTGAGCTTTTCACGAGGCCTCTTTCTTCACCTTGCTGCAGAAGCACAAGTCCTTGCTGCACGCCACAGAGCGGGCATGGCTGCTGGGTGTCCCGGTGAGGGGTGGGTGGCTGTGCCCCACAGGGGGGATGCATTCACTACTCTTTTTAATAACCTGGCTCCTGGGCTCTGCTCCTCCCTGCATGCTGCGCTGTGTCTTGTCCCCCTGGATGGAGCTATCTCTGGGGCAGTGGTTCAGCACATAGTTTAGAAATTGAGCGCAGGGAAAGGGAGAGAGGGAGACCAATAAACCTCAATAAGGGGATAAAAAAGGCAGTGGCTTCGGGGAAGATCTAGAGAGCTTGTAGTTATCATTAGGAGGGACAAGCAGAGATGTCTTGGCATATCTCATTAGAAGGTGCTGGGAGCTACTCAACTGGACAGTGGCTTCAAATGCCAGTGACCTCCAGGAGCTGGAAGTGAACGTTGTAATTGATATAAGGATGGAAGCTGCTGCACTACAAAGTGGCATTTTGGATGCTGTGAGAACAGGTGATGTGAAGCATCCTCAGCGAGATCTGTTTCCCTCCACTCTTTTGACTCCTGTCAGAGGTGCATGTTCGAGCTTTTCTCAGGGCAGATGGCTTCTGCAAATAGAACAGGCTTTGAAATACAAAGTTTTGTCGAATTCATTATATACCTTCTGACTTCAAAGACTTGCTGTTTCCTCTTTAGTTTCAAACAGAGTGGCATGGCTGCTTTCAGGGCTGTTACATTGGAGACAGACATTGCAGAGCATGTCACCAGAACACTGTGGCAGCCCTGGGACCATCACATGGGCTGGACCAGATCCCTGCCCACAGCTGGGGCCTGCCATTATCTGGACTTTGGTGCTCTCCTTGGTGGGGATATCCCTGGTTTTTCCCATTAGGTGAGGTGCAGCCATGTGAGCCCATCCCAGATCTGCCAGGCTCAGAGGGCAGGGCAGGTGAGAAGGGCTGGGGATAGACTTCACCCTTGGAGCTGTCGTGTCCATCTGGATGTCAGATCTCTTTGCTGAGGTGTTCCAACAAGAGGCTTCTTTCTCAAAAGGGAGGAGCTGTACAAACTCATCTTCACATCACTTTGTTTTGAATTCACCTTCTGCAGCATGGTGGTTATCCACTCCAGCTCAGCAAGAGGGTGCAGGCAGTCAGAAGCTCCTACAAGCTCCCAAAGCTGTCTGCATTACTTCACATGAGCTGCATGTGCTTAACATTGACCAAAGTTATGGTTTTGAGGTTTCGTGTCTCATTTTTTTCTTTTGGCGATGTGCTGGAGCTGCTCTAAGAGATGTCAATTAGAGAGCTTTCTCTTTGTATCTGCTTGCTGCACAGAGAGATGACATTTTTTTGGCCAAAAGTTTTCTTGGAAAGAAAATGTCACTTTGTGAAACTGAAATGTCAGTTTAGTGAAGTTGTTCATATGCAAAAAGGAATGGAGAAAAGAAGCACCCAAACTTCAAAGCAGAAAAAACACTCCTTTCGACATCTGATTTGCCACAACTTTGTTTTGAAAGGCTTCAGGTTCATTTTGAAAGTTTTAAAAGGCTCAAAGCCAAAATGTTGCAAACCAAGCAAAATGTTTGCTCCATTCTCTACTCATTCTCTTCTTTTTTATTATTATTTTAGAACTGGCATCAAACTGAAGATCTATTTTTTGCCCTGCTCTGGTTGTCTACAGCATCTGGATAAGCTGGAGACAGCGTTTGCTAAACTGAAAAGTATTTAGGGAGAAAAAGTTCTCTGTCTCTGCTTCAGCTCTCAGCAGCTGGACCCTTTATGGATGCTCTATAAGGGCAGTGTATGACGACTTGCAGCATTCCTCCATGTACTCTTGCACTGAGAAGCTTTTGTGGGATTTTTGTCTTATCATTTGCACATTATAAAAGCGTCAACTATTTCCAAACCTTTCAAGTTTCATTGGAAGGACTACTCTGAATTTTAGTTCTGGAGTCGGTTTATGTGTGTGGTTTGATCATCTGTTCCTCCTCTCATACAGATGCTCTCAACGTGGGCAGCAGAGCAGCCCTGTCACAGCAGATTAATGGCAGAACGCAGCATTGCTTGTGGAAGCAGAGTAACTAAAGATGAACAGTGGTGTTGTACCATCTGAATAAACTCTGAAATTAGAACAATTTTTCTCAGTGTTTCGGCATCCAAAGTACAAAGTAATAACCCTGTCAGGAGCAATATTTGCTGCTGTCTTGTGTGGATGCGTTGGGAATTAGCTGCAGCCTCCTGGGCAGAAGGTAGGTGTGTTGGTGATGGGACGCTGTACTAAAGGGAAAAGTACACAAGGCCCTTGGTTGCAGTGCAGGATGGAACTACTGAGAAGATCAGTGCTGCTTTGAACATGGCATTTGGTTTGGTTTCCTCATGAAAAGGACAATGGAGAAATGGGGAACATATATGTATTTGCATAGCAGGCAAAATGTGTTGTAGACTTTGGTAGAAGATGGCAGTCAGTATGTGAAATCCAGACCTGAGGCAAGTACCAAATGGTGGATGGTGAAGAAAGCCTTGCTGAGCGCTCCTTGCCTCAGTACAAATTGGACGAGGGCAAAAACTCAGCGAAGGATGAGACTTAACAATATTCCTGTAAACCTCACAAAAATAGGAGTGATCTTGTAGCATTACCAGGCTGGGGGAAGTCACTTAGCCATTTTTTGAATTTGTTAGACTGCTTGCTTCTGGGCTTCTATGTGCATTCCTTTTGGAGGAGTCTCAAAGGAGACCTCATTGCTCTCTACAACAACCTGAAAGGAGGTTGTGGCAAGTGGGAGTTGGCCTCTTCTCTTAGATCACAGAGATAGCGTGAGAAGTAATGGCCTCAAGTTTCACCAAGGGAAGGTCAGTTTGGATGTTTGGAAGAATTTCCTCCCAGAAAGAGTGGTGCTGCAGTGGCACAGGCTGCCCAGGAAGGTTGTGCAGTCACCATCCCTGGAGGTGTTCCAGAACCGTGTGGATGTGGCACTGAGGGACGTGGTCAGTGGGCATGGTGGGGATGGGCTGGCAGTTGGATTTTAGAGGTCTCTTCCAACCTTAACTATTCTATGAAGTGATTTTCAGAGGAACCAGCCAAAAGATGCTGAGGAAACTGAAAATTCAGCTCTTCTTTGTTGTCTCAAGGTGAGTGCTAGGCATTTAAATTTTGGAAATGTGAGGTCGCATAATGAAACAGATGTGCGATTACACTGTTTATTCTATCTGCTCACAAACATATTGAACCACAACCGGCCTTGAAATGAAATCCTCCTCCATAGCACATCCAACTTTGCATGATGTGTTTGACAACAGGACAGGTTTGTGCCTTCAGTGGGTGCTTCCCTGCCCTTCTCCCAGGCCACGTGCACGTGCAGCACTGTCTCTGGCACTGCTGCTCACACATTTGTTTTCCATCATGTAACCAATGGCCCTTTCACCACTCCTTTATGCGACTGCTGCCCTGCACAGTCTGGGCCATGTAAACAAAACCCTTGCATTTGCATCCTGCTGATACCGGTGTTCTGAAATCCTTTCCAAATGCTTTTGCCAGTGACTGCTGCAAAGATTTTATAGCAGTGAGAATGCGTATCTTGGGCTTTCTTTCAGAAGCACTGAAAGGGACACTTTATGTGCTGGTGGATTATTTTACCAACTGAATAAATGCCATCTCATTTTCAAACAAGCAACTTGGAGTCTGGCAAAAGATTTATAAATGAGCTCTGCACATCCTGAGCGAGAGCTGAGCGTGTTTGTTATGCAGAGCTGCTCAGCTACACAGCAGACTCCAACTGCCCAATACTGTGCACCTTTCTCTGCCCCTTGGAGGAAATGGATTCTTAAGGCAGAGATCAAGGGGAATATGTGAATACCCAGACCCGAGAGGAGAAGAAATATCTACAAAATCTCAGGTGGTTTTGGGTCACACCATTGTAAATTTGAATCTTGACTTTTATCTCACCTCCCCCGTTGTTTAGGAGGATGATCAGGCTGTACCTGTTCTATATGAGGCGGTGGCTTATTGCAGTCTCAAGCCTTGTTTAAATGTAAAGATTTTTCACTTGCTAGTGTGTTGCTGGAGTATTTTTCCATTGAAAAATGTGAATGTACCAGGAAGATGTCCTCAAGGGATATGTTATGTGGCTTCATATTTAGTGTACAAGGAAGGAAGGTATTGTGTTAAAATGAAGTTTCTGTTTCTAATTACGAGATAATTTAGGTGCTGTTCTCTGCCACTCAGAGCAGAATCATAAGATCATAGAATTATTAAGGTAGGAAAAGAACACTAAGTCCAACCATCAACCCATCCCCACCATGCCCACTAACTGTATCCCTCTGTGTCACATCCACATGGTTCTTGAACACCTCCAGGGAAAGCTTCCACTCTGGAGAAGTCTCACAGACACTGAGATGCCCTGGGCAGCACTACTGCTGAGGTACCATGGCCTGTGGGGTCCATCTATTCCATGTTTGTCTCGATGCCCCCGCCAGCAGCAAAGCGCATGGGACACAGCATCCTGCAGCCATGGGGGCTGTGGAGCCAGCTTCTCCAGTAGTTTCTACAGAAAAAAATCTCTGTATAAGCCTATTCCCCTCCTTGTCTGTATGACTTTGAAAAAGGCAAGGTAGCACTTACTGTCCCTGCAGCTCTGTGTCTGTAGATGGGAGATGGGCGGAGGCTGGTGCCCAGTGCACACAGCTTTGTGTGCACTTGTGAGTGAGAGAAGCATCTCTGTTGTTTGTCCTCATTATAAAAATGTACAGGTTGTGGCATTGCAGGAAAGAAAGGTTGAACATTAGAGAAAATTTCTTCTCAGAAGGAGTGGTGCTGTAGTGGCACAGGCTGCCCTGGAAGGTGGTGCAGTCACCAGCCCTGGAGGTGTT